CTTTGTTTGAAGACGCAAGCCATTAAATAGCCAACCACACCTGAGCCCAAACTGTCGACCATGTCACCCTGCAGGGGTTGCACTCTGAGCATCGCGCACGCAAGTTTAGTATCCACCACACGCGCTATGACTTTATTCCCGCCTCAGTGCACATTGGATCTCGTTAAAGACGGTATTAAGTTTCAGCCCAAAGAAATTCGTGCATAGCATAATGCCGTCCCGTAAAGTCCATTCATTACCCCCCCCCCAAAAAAAAAAGAATCCCGGGAAATGCAGCAGGACATCTGAGGAGTATTGGCATGCATACTGCACACAACCCGATGATCTACCTGCGGGCAACGCTTCGGACGTCTCGGCCGTCGCAGTCGGTGTAGTTCAACACTGCTCGTCGAGGTGGAACCAGCCGTGACTTGCGCGTGAATTTGTTTACAACGAGACACGCATTAGGAATGAGTCATTGCTGCATGACCCTTAACATAATCTGTTGGCACTCGCATGTCACGACGATTAGCACGTCGCGGTCCAGAGGGTGTTTACATGTTCAAAATTACGGCTTATGCATTGACTCCAGCTGGATCGACTTGATCTTGTCTCTGTTTTCCAAGCGCCAGTGGTTTATTTGACTACAAATGAGAGTGGGTGGAGTGTGTGACGTGCTGTGAGGGCCTCTGCCTGAGTAAGCCACACGTGCTGGCCCCTCTAGCCGACCAGACTTTGCCGAAAAATACAGGGCTCATTTTGCGCATGCTCGTGTATGACACCTCGCCTGTCACAAAAACACTAGTAAGTTGCACCGCAGAATCGTTACTTGAGCCACGTGCAATATTTCGCGGATTGTTGACATGTATACCCGTGGACTCGGAAGTACCCATGTATTACCTCTGTGTTTGCGTGTAGAACGTGGTAAAGAAGACCTGGCTTGTGTCGTTTTGTTAATCATAATTGAGTATTCTCATATAGCCAAATAGGCTCACACGGTGACAGGATGTGCGAATAGTGTGGGCGTGGAAGGCATGTATGGTGAAGGTTAGCCGGAGTTCTGGGTAGCTTTTTCCATTCACGGAAGAGCCCACTAATTCCGTGTATGGGGACGTTATGGTAGGCATAGACTTGCCAACCACTGCATCCAATCTCAGCACCATATGCTTGACAAAATCGCATAGCCTGTTGATGCATGGAAGAGGAAAATTATTAAGGCCGGCATTGGGGAATCCATCCTACGGTGCATCAACGCATTCCCCGCTATACTAAGCCTGACGAGCTTGAGTCTCACGAATCGCTAGAAGCCGTCTCTTGAGAGGCTGCCAACCGTCGGTGGGACAGTATTCTTCTCTGGACTGAGAGGTAGGCTGCAATGGTTCCTTAATGTGTCTCCGACGAAACCCTCATGTGAGATCTGAGCCGTCCCCTCGCAAAAGCCTGACACATGCTATGGGGTCCAGGTCGTGCGTGGTGCGCAAAGACGGGCTGTTTTGCTTTGTCAGCCACTACTGCACCCGCCTCCTACCGGATTCAGATGAATAAGGGTAGACGGAGTGCATTAGATGCAGCGAAAGTCTGCTTCAATACAAACCAACGCGCGAGTCACTCGCGTGCGCCCACTCCGTAGGACACACGATGGACGTGGTCGTTCGAACTGTTGGTGGTGATTACGACGATGAACAGGTAACGGAGAATTATTTGTGGCGTAAGGTGGCTTGACCGTGTCACGATGTTTAGCCAGGTCATTTACCGTCATAAGCGTTGCGAGATGTTGTGGACATGTTTGTAGAAGTTGGTTGTCAACTAAATTCGGGTCTTACGCCACTGGCCCTTTGTCTTCGCTTCCGCAGTCCATCTGGCCTCCAATATGAGTGGTTTAGATTTTACGTCAGTTCGGCTGTCTTGCGCGTGGCCAAGCCGGGTCTCCTCATTGATATTTGGGTGTAGGAAATTTCTTAAGGGTGTCCTTTAATTGCCTGTTTTGCCAGCCTCGTCTGAAAATTCCTGCATCATCATCGAAAAGCAGTCCGTTCGGAAAGTGAAAGTCAGCCAACCTTACGAAATTGGCGCTCAATCATAGTTCGACCTTCAGCATATCATAGATGTGGAGGTTTTGGCAGGCAGCAGTGGTTGATGGTCCGGCCCAAGGCTAAAATCACGAGTTTCACCAGGCCAGGGATAACTGCCGGCCAGTAGGTGTCTCGCTTTTCCTAACGCCTATTGGTTAAAAGACGAAACAAGGAGAATTCTGCTGTTGACCAATTACGCAGTTTCGACGCAATCAAAGCAATGTGGTGTTAAAGTTACTTGACACCGACTTAAACAAGATTTAGAATGAACAAGGTCGAAAATGCGTAGTGAAGGAAATAATTACATACAGGTGTATATAAGTAGAAGGTGTAATAAAGTGGTCACCAAAAACAATCGACCAGAAAGAAGACTGGAATGAGAAAGCGCAAAATAAATGCAACGTCAATAAACAGTAGTAGGCAAATAATCAGGCAGTTATAATTGATGGCCGATATGAGTTATGTGGATGCAGCTTATAATGAAATAGTTGTTCCCAGAGGCAGTGAAGTTAGGTTAGGAAGAGGTGTGGAGGCAGTTGGCGGGCCAGCACAGGTCGCCGTGGGGTTAGCCCTCTGGTTTCCCTGGAACAGCCGACCAGAGCCGGCCAACTTTCATCGCGCCCTCGTTACTGCGGAAGATTTGACAGGCTTTGGTTTTGAGGGGACTTACCCTGAACGATCATTCATTTGGTAATTCCAGTGGCTTCCACATACGGTCACACCGGACGAGAACGCGAGTGTGTAGTCAGCCAAACCCTTTTCCTCATAGAACTCGGTCGACGATTTCGTAGTAGGTTCGGTGACAGCATGCGCATTAATTGTCGGGAGCGGCGCACACAATTGCTAGAATCCTCGTGGGCACTGCGAGGAGTTAGACCGATCATCTCGCCTGCCAGTCAGAAAATGAGCCTGAAAACCAATTTGGTCGACCTGCAGACCAAGTCGGGCTTCAGTGTCTCTAGAAGAAAGTGGTTCGCTCAGTTTGTTGGGTCCTATGCGGCATGCAGGGAAGACTTAATTTAACGATGAAAGCTCTCGGCAGAAATCCTGGCGATCATGGTGGTGGGTCATCGTTTAGATCGGTAAGCGACCCGGGGGAACGGACAGAGCTTAGAAGACTGCAGACTTCATCTGAGTGCCTCGGTCAATTTTAACGGTAGACGAGGAACCTGACCTGACGGTCCGACAACTGATTATGCTATCGCTCTCCACATTCAATAAGTGAATGGTTTCAGTTCACCGGGTGTATTGATCAACGAAAGTAAAGTGTGCGTAACCACCGGGTCTAGGAAAGGAGTCCACGAAATCGGGTGGTTGGAGTGAAACCGGACCCCCGGGATTGGGGGGATTGCCTAATGGAACT